ACCGACTTTCGACCCAGAGATCAAAATAGTTGAACCTCAAGAGATTCTCAATAATGATCGACCTCAGCATTATATCAAACGACGCAAAACTGTCCCAATTGAACACGAGGTGAATGAATACCTCACCGCCCCTCAAGAAGACAAAATTTGTAAACCTCTTACCTATTGGTCAATCAACGCACGTCACTGGCCTAATCTCGCTTGCATGGCTAGAGCAATGCTTGCAGTACCTGCAACAAGTGCCCCTTCTGAGAGCACATTCTCTAACGCTTTGAGAGTCATGAGTGACCACCGAGCGTCGTTCACTCCTCACAATCTCGAAGCTCAAGTCTGCCTCAAGAGCTGGAATAAGGTGATCGTGAAAAAATAGGGGTTTATTGATTGAATTTCAAAAATCTATTTTCATTTTTAACTAGATACAAGTTTGAATACATGTTAATTTGGATTGAAGTGAGAAATTTTAAGTTTTCCTTTTCAAAGTAGGCGTTTAGACTTTAGATCTATACATGAGAATTTGAAGTGAATGTTGTTTTTCTCTCTTCTAAGTAGGCTTGGTCTCTCAAATATGTTTCTACCTTTGAAGTAAGGTCTTATTGATTTCCTTGAAGATGCAATACACCCAATGGTTATCCCCTTTCTGAGCGTCTTGTCCCCCCAAATTTGAGCCTGGCCCTGCGCGGCCTTGAGGCCTACATTTCAGGGCCTGCCCTGGTTGGCCCTGAGAGTTTTTCAAAGACCATCGGGTCTACCCAAGGCCGGACTTGGCCCCGGGGCCGGCCCTGAACTCACGGGGTCGGGTCACAGCCCTAGTCACAAGCATACATGTGACACCAAAAACCTTAACTTCACAACTCAATAATTCATTCATCACTCATCAGAAATACCTGATATGGCACCATTTATTGATCATTATCGCGAGCTCTACAAGATGCACTTTAGTAATCCAAAATTGGACCCCATCTGAAAAAATTGGTAATCTCAAAACTTGGTTTGCAGCTAGTTTACAAGGAAAAAATCAGCTGTATTCATCATAAGAAGTGCTCTACATTAGGGCTGTGACCCGGCCCTGAAAGTTCAGGGCCGGCCCCGGGGCGCGGCCCGGCCGTGAGGAAACCTGAGGGCCTGCAAAAATGGTTCAGGGCCAGGCAGGGCGCGCCCTGAACTTGAGGCCTAGGGGCCAGGCAGAGTCAGGCTTAGGTTTTGGGCACAAAAATCATGAGTTGTACAGCTTGGGATGATCGGCAGCCCCGGTGCCCGACCCGCCTGAGCGCTCTCAGAGCACCTTTGTAAGTAAAACACGTGACGTTCTGCGGCCCCGGGGCGCGGACCGTGAGCTCTCCAGAGGTCGCCGGGCAGACTCGGCCGGGCGGGGCCGGGTCCGGGTCGCAGCCCTACTCTACATCACATTATTGCGTCATTGATCACTTTTGGCTGTGTAAATTACATCATACATTAGTAACATGATCATTACATTGTGTCATCATATGGTTTTTAGGGTTCTTTAGGCAGATTTGGCTGGTTTTTGAGGCTGTTGACTGCTGTAGGAGTTGTTACATGTGGATATACGTACTCTCTGATGATTTTGGGATTGTTGTTCCCTTTTCTGCATCTTATACCTTTGTTGTAGTGTTATAAATCATCATTTATTTACTACAATTGTACCAAGATCACTTAAATCTGCCCCTTCATAGCAAGGAGAAATTTATTTACATGTGTTAAAGACTATAAGTCTCTTTGGGAATAATACTTACAACAGTATTGCTAGTAATAAACATTGTTTGTGGACTTTTTGCGCTTAAAATCTGGAATAATACTTACAGTATTGAGAACTTATCTCTGGTGCCGTTTATCTATTTCTCTGTTATCACAAAGTGGTCAGCAAGTGCCCTTGTGCTGGTTTCTTTGAAGAAGGCAGTCTTTAGACAACTTCTACTATTCTCACGTAGTAGATTATCCCTTCTTAGGTGTTGTAAATCTCAACAAGAGCTTTAAATACTACACCATACTGTTTGATAATTAAAGAGATCTCAGTGAGGATCCAAATTAGGTCCTTTACACAGACTTGGACCTTTATCATATTAGTTTTTCCTATCTTTCACTAAAAGATATTTAGGCCTTGTGTGCACAGGCCACCTACATACTTCACAAACATATCAGTTTATTTGATGTTCAATTTTTACCCAATCTGAACCCCGAAAATTTGAAACTCTACAATGGCTCATAAATCCAAGAACCAAATGAATCAGAGTGTTTTCAATTGGGTGTGTGGAAGTGTTTGCTAAGGTTGTGCAAACAAGTATCTGTATTCCACTGCTATCTCTACTCCAAACAAACTAAAAAATGTGGTTTGGGACATTATATACCTTTCTTTGAATCATTTCATTCTTGTCTTCTGAAGTTCAAAATCAACAACCCAATCCACATCTGAAATCTTGATCCTTGTGCAACACATCATCTGTTTACTTACAAGGTGAGGTATCATCCAAAGCAAAGATACTTCTCAAGCCACGTAGTTTCCACATTTCAGGTAATGAATTGGAGCAGTGACTCCTTATCACTATCATCAGAAGTGAGTCTGATGCCAATTTTGGCCAACAATTTGAAGAAGTTAAGAATTTAACAGATAATCTGAACCTGTGTCCAAACCGTCCCACATCTGCTTCAAATATCTGAAATTGAATAGACAGGCTCATGTCTGGAGATATCACCAGCTTGCTCTCCATTAGACATATAAGGAACAGCTGATGCTTTAGCAGAAAGAAAGCATGTGTTGGGTGATGAAGAAGTAGTGGAACAGAAGTATTACAGGCTGAGCACCTCAGCACAACCAAAATTGTGAATTGAAAGAATCTGAAGAAAATTGAACCATTTTTGGAGATATCAAGAAAACTTCCTATGATCACCTCTATGTGAGCTTCTATTTTTCCCTTTGTGAATATAAAAGCAGACTTAAAACTCTCAAGTGAGATGATAAGAGGAGTGCCTCCTGCTGCTGCTTTCACTAACACATCATTAGCCTTCCACTATAATGGTCTAATCATGATTCTCTTTTAGTTTCTCAATCCTGTTTACATTCACCTATAACAGTTAAATTACGTGAATTTCTTCACTTTTCAAAAATGCTTTCTCCAATGTGTTCAAACCCATATAAAACATCTCCAATGAGCATTGTGTGAAAATAGCTAGTTATTGGCAGACAGCTTTGGTCAATACCAGAAGAGAATTGTGAACCAAAGCAATTCAGGCTTTCAGTGAAGTTACTAGTGCCCCTTTCTTCCAGTGATAAGAATTCCAAGCTTTAGAAGAGATCATCATATCAGTATCTCATTATACCAAGCCCAATACAGACAATCAATGTTGGATAGGTGGTGTGCAAGCAGGTGCAAGCTCACTGATACATCCGTGTCTCTGGAAATTTGGAAGCCTAGGTGCTTGTACCAGATTGACGTAGTGGCCTAAAGTTCATTGCCTCGGGTCTGGATGGGCTGATATTGGCGATAATCATCCAAGCCGTATGGCGCTTTCATAAACAACATCTCAATGTATCATTTCCTGTTAGTTTTCATCTTGGTTTCCTTAGTCCTTTCACACTTCTGGGTGTTGTGCCCGCCGACATGCATGTTTTATCATGATACTATAAGGGCATGAAAGGGTCTCATGTTTTTTTCTCATTTGAAGCCTTTTTTTACTCCCAGATCAAGCATGCAAAGGTAGGCTGGTTTAGGCGTGACGGTCGGTGACGATCCAGAGTTTGAACTCTGCAAGCATCTCGGATGCGGGCTTTACGGGGATTCTCAGAATGCACGCACTCTCACTGCCAGGTTAGTTCATGTCTCCACTCAATTGTAAATTTGGGAATCGACTTGGAAGTTGGCTATGTTCATCTCCCGCATCATTGTAAACAACCAACAAACGATCGTCCATCGACGGAACTTTGGCCCTCACAGTTGTTCACCTTGTTCGCCCCCTGAATCCGCTCGCAACCGAAAAGACAACAAAAGTCCTTCACCGACCAGATAGCCGTACTCTCTGATCGTGATACATACTGTCGTTCTTACAAAACTTGCCAAAAAATTCCGCGCCAAAATGCTCGAATTTTGCGGGAAAACTTGGAGAAACTTTTTGAGAATGAGCAATAAAGAGGACCCCGGAAAGCTCCTGGAGAACAAACCGTCCTCGATCCATTCCGGCCCCGGCCCTCACACTTTCACTATTTGCCCCGAGGAGAGGTGGGTTAACATGGATTTCTCGGTGGTAGGAGAAGCGCCTTGATCAGGGCTCTCGATTACATATACTTTCAGTTTTGTACCACGTGTAATCACCGAGATATCCGTATGTAAGTACCCGACCCGAGCCGGTATGGATTTTCGTCGGTCTGGGGGGGCAAAAGTTACAAATCACACATTTCCCAAGCCACCAGTCATGTTCAGGGTCAGACATGTGTACCATCTGATAGCCCTCGTTGAGGCGCATCTTTTGCACCTGTCACATCTCTGGTACCATGTGACATGACTTCACAAAACACCGGTATCCGAAAACCCCCTCAGGACGGTTTGTTCTCCAGGAGCTTTCCAGGGTCCTCAATAAAGCAATTGTGCACTTTTTTAGAAAAAATCCGCTCGCGGAACTTTCCAACGATGGTCATCAAGGCGGGGAAGCTGGGGGAAGCAGTTTGGGAATGTATGTAATCCCGCTCGTTGATTCGCATACAGATCTGACGGCATGAAGTTCAAATTTCGATCGCAGAAGTCCAAAAGAGTCCAAAGCAGAGAGAGTCTATTTATTTATGACTTTGATGAAACTTTGCTTGTTCGCTGTCGCGTGGTTGCCTGTGGTTGCCTGATGAGCTTGCATTCAAGTTCCCACCGAAATTTGGTCCTAAATAACCACTGCCAGATCATATCAGACGTCTCGGGCAACAAGTTCCCTCAATATATCCTTGATATTTTCAACTCGACACAGAGTCTGAGACGGCGATATTAATCAAACTACGCTGCAAAATGGCTGAGATCAGTGCGCCCACCCTGCCGAAAGTAAGTTTAATGTCTAATTTGGGCGATTCAAATACGAACCTCAATTGCTTGATCCAAAAACATGCTTACAAAATCCCGGCCTTCCATTGTAGGTGCAGGAGAGCGAACAGACAGAGTTATGTACCGAGAAGTTACCGGTTCACTCGTCGTTGGACGAAAAACACGTCTCGGATGATGAAGCGTTAGTAGATGACCCGGAAGTCTACACCGTTACTTTTCGAGCGTGTCTTGTTGGCGTCACAGTCGCCGTTTTTGCGGCCTCTGTTGCTCAGGTTAGCTGATCCTTCACAGGGTGCGCCTTAGCTTCATGAACTGATCAGTATCTCAACACCATCTTAGCTTTTTGTGTTTAAGCCAGTGCAGCTGTGAGTCCCTGCTTGCTTGTTTCGAGACCAACAAACCTGGTGGAGCCAGCTTACCTATCTAATCCTACGATCCTTCAGACATGTTCCCGGGTTGTTTGTGGAGGTAAGCTTCCCCGTCGACCACTTATACCACCCGCTGAATGACATGCTTAATTGAACCCCCGCAGCTTGTATGCTTCATATTTGGGTCTCTCCTCTCCAAGATTCCGGGGCCATCTTGGTTCAATCCCGGACCTTTCAGTTCTGTCAGTCTTATTTTTTGTTTATGCCTCTAGCATAGTGCATCTTGAGCTAACGATTCTTGGCAAAAATAGAAAGAACTTGCATTTGCATCAATAATGGCGATCTCGGCTGGCATAGACGCAATCGCTGTACAAGTCAGTAAAACTCACTTATACAAATCGAGTACTTAAGGCGCTGATATTTGGTTTGAGTAGATGCTCGTCGCGCAGGATTTATATTTCAATCGACGGGTGCCAGCCATATTGGCGTTAGCAACGATGATGTCGAGTCAATTGATAGGCTATGGATGGGCAGGGTCAGTCTGGAGGCCTTGAATCTCATCCTTAAATTGATCGGACAAGTTCATCTGATCACATATTCTGTGTAAAAAGACTGCTGCGGCCACTTTTGATCTATCCCAAAAAAGCCGTCTATCCAGAGATGCTACCATCGGTTGCCTTGCTCCGTTCCCTCGCGGGCAGAAGTGAGCTATGCAAAATCCAAGTGCGTTATTTTAAGAAAGTGGTCCTTGCTATCTCTCTATGTAAGTGATGTTCTATACATCCTTGAATCTGGGGCTAGACTACTTGATGAGATGTATGGTCTGCAACACTTTCAGATGAAATATTTCCGAGTTATATTGCACCCGCGCTACAAGCGGTCAGCCCGTGGTGTTTGGCATTACCACGGTGAGGATTTCGAAATATACGTAATGATTCTTCCGGCGAAGATTGTAGTCTTATGTTGTTGCTATTTTTGGCCGTGCGAATTGAAATACTTGCATGAAACGTCGATCTACCCGCGAGGAAAGCTCACCGATCGTTACTCAGCTCTTTGGAGGATCCCGAATCAACGAGGGTATGCAGTAAATTCTCTCGATTCTTAACCATATCATATTCTCACTGCTACTAACAAATCGAAAATTCTTATCGTAGGCATGGGTCTTTTTGCGTTCACTTTCGATTGGACGACCCTCGGAGGCTTTGGACCACTCTACACGCCATTGGTAGCACAGGTCAGTTGATGGAGTTTAACAGATTATGTAAATTACTAGACGCGTCGCTCTTTTTCCTTTCCAAGATAAACCAATGGGTGGCAGTATTGTGTTCCATCTTTGTATTCATGGCCGCCTATCGATATAACTGGTTCGGTGAGTATTTCAAAAGAGTATGATAAAAATTCAGCTAAAGTATATTTTGCTAATATACGACAATAGGGGGAGGTGTCTCGCAGGGATTTCCCTTCATCGCCTATGGTTTACTTGATTCACATGGCAACCCGTACAATGTGACTGCAGCGATATGGCCAAACGGGACAGAAAACGTAGACGCAGTACGTCTGATGGGGACACCAAGAATGGCTACCACCGCTATCATAGGAAAATCCTTCACTTGTATGGGAGCCTCCGCAGCATTCACTGGTTTATTTCTCTACCACTGGAAAGATCTCAAGTCTGTAATATTCAGGAGAGGTCAAGGTGGTTCGCAAGAGGACCCGCACCGTACAATCACGAAGAATTATCGTCAATTTCCGGCCTAGTGAGCTCGAAATTATCTCTTCATACCTATTTCTAAACTTGAAATTGTTATTCCTCACTCAATCAGCCCAACTCTTACAGTGCTTACATGATTATCTTGGTGGGATCTACCATTATGGCGGTTGTAGCATCGCAAGTCAGTGATTCAGGACTATCTATTGGCGGTATGCTGATCGCGCTGCTGGTTTCCGGGATCATAAGGTAGAAGCCACTTGAAAATTCATCTGAATGATAGAACGAATGATTAACCGTTTTTGGTCTACAGCGTTTCCGCAGGGTTTGTGCTTGCAGGCAGTGGTATATGGCTTAGCATCATGCGTGAGCTTGTGCTTTGCTTTTCACGTTGAGCCACACATTGCTAACGCTTCGCGCAATTTCAGCGCCAATTCAGCTCTTGGGGTGAGCTCCTTTGACAAGGTTTATCCCATACAGGGACTTGCCGACGAATGAAATTGACGTATGTGCTTCCATTTGGTGTATAGAGGAGTGATGTTTCCAGGGAACGCATTGTCGAATTTTTGGTTTACGACCTTCGCGTCGACCACCGCTTATCAATGCCTGAATATCTTGAAAGGCGAGTTAACAGGGTCTTAATAGATCACCACACTGAACAAGACGCTGACATATCGAACTTTTGTTCGCTACAGAGCTCAAATTGTAAGCAAACCTTCACAGTGACCCATGATAGTTTCAAAGCTGACCTACCTGATTTCTAAAAGGGGACAATACCTCCTATTGGCACCCGTAAGTCTGATTGATCGCCGACTGGCACGTTATCCAGCTCTGATTTACTCCGTTCACATCCTTCCAGATGTCAGCCGTCCTAGCACAGCTGTTCGGTAGCATTCTTGGCACGTTTGTAAATTACGCTGTGGCATGGTCACTCCTGAAGAACGAAAGAGAAGTTCTTCTTTCCACGAATGGTAACGGAGTATTCAGCGGTGTTCATTTTCTTGGCTTTCAGTCACAAGCCGTAAGGTTTGTTCTTTTGTCTCAGACTTCTGTGCCAAGTATCATCCATTCAGTCTCATGTCTCAATATACTGCAGCTGGGGAGTATTCACGCAAAGATTATATATGCCGGGAAAGCAATATGTGAGTGATCACTCGAGTCAGCGCAAGTACAATTTCTGATCTAGATCTGAATTGTGATAGGCGGTTGTGATCTATGCCATGATTGTTGGACTGTTTCTTCCTATTCCCTTCTATTTTCTGCATAGATGGAAACCAAGAGTCGGCTTCAACTACATCAACATCCCGATTATGGCCAACGGGTTCAGTGCATTGACGGGAAGTGAGCATCCAAGTATTACCAAAGCTAACACAAGTACCGGTCGCTTATCTCAAATTGTGTCTTCTTCAGATCTCTCTTCTGGCCAGATGACGGCTGTGGCAGTGGGGCTATGGTCACAGTTCTACATGAAACGATACCACCGAGGCTGGTGAGTCCTCTCAGACATACTGTCGCGAGTTAATGGAGCTGAGTTTGGACCAATTTAATTTTTTGTTAACACTTAGGTTCGGTAGATATAAGTAAGTAAACATACAGGAACCTCGATGCCCGAATTTATGTCCACTGAAATGTACCATTGTCCTCAGTGATATACTCAATGCAGCGTTGATGGGTGGGACTCAAATTACGGTACTGCTATTGGTCCTTTTCTTCCAAGGAGGCATTGGCTGGAAAGTGCCATTCCCCCAGTAAGCTGTTGCTTCAACTTTTACTGCCCCGATTTGTTGAAACTAGACTGAATAAATAATTGCTTGAATGCTCTTGAAAACGTCACATTTTAGCTATTTTCTTAACCCTCGTGGGGCGGTCGACTACTGTGATGACTAGGCCTTGTATCACGCGGGTCAATTTTCAAGGGAAACACAAGCCCAAATGAATTTGAGGGAACTGCAATACACATTTTTATTTATGGCCTTACGCTGATGATGCATGAAAAAATTTCAGCTGATGATTCACTTGTACCAACAGTATTCTTTGGAGGCGGTCTCTTCCTCCTTCAAAAGCTTAAATTAGGAAATTGTTTGTTAGCGTGCTTTCTGGATGAATGGATTCTCCTGAAAATGAGTTACAGTCAACTCCCTCCAAACCCATACCATCCTATGGAAGCCCAAAACTATGGGTTTTATGGGTGTATGATTTTGGAGGATCTCCCTCACAGCCCATAGATTAAGGTTTGGCAGGCAAAGTATGGGTCAAGAGGGAGATAAAATAATTAACAAGCCAATCAAAAAAATCATTTCTTCATATTCAACTCAGAATAGATTGCAGCAAAGTGGCAAGCAGTCTTAGATGAGTGCAACCATTCTGTTTGTACTTGAATTTCAAAACCAAAAGTTAAGGGCCCGTTTGGCCAAACTTAACTAAGTCCCTTGCCAACGGCCCAAGGCTCGAGCGAGGGACCTACCTCAAAAACAAAAATTCTGGCGTGAGAAGTCAGCTGTATTCAGCAAAAATCTGTTACGTTGTGATATCTTTTTTTTGACTCAACAAACTCCCTGTGACGGGAAGGGAAAGAATGAAGGCCACAAGCCATTACATAAGCTCCAACTTCAATGATCTCCATAAGTTGAGTGGAAGATCCGCATCTTGGTGATCTAAGATAGGTCCTTTGCTGAGTGGTTAAGCTTTATGTACCAGCTGTATCTGCTGCAGGTTTCAGCCCAAGCTTTTGACCGCGTCGGAATGATCCAGACATCTGGAAAGACGTTTTTGGTGAAACTGCTGTTTCATGGTATGCTTTGTCAAGCTTCTAGCTTAGAAATATTATGATGTCTATAAAAAAAGATCTATTAGTTCCCACTCAGGCCAAGTGGAAGTTGCAGAGAGCAGATATGTACTCAAAACAGGTTGTTCTCGAAGAAAGAGAACTAGAAATTACTTTTCATTGGGTGTTGACGGAGATCAACCATCTAGCTCAATGCTCTTAATCAAAAGCAATGGGCTTTTTAAAAAGAGTAAATCAAAAACGCAAGCGCCAATGATCTAGCATGCAGATAAAATGAAACAATCAAGATGTGTTATCTGTGGAAGCGATGATATTGCAGTGCAATGTGTCATTAGTATTTGTTCATGAAAATCACTTGATGCTTAAAATCAAAAGCCAGTGATGCTTTTAATCAGCGGTGATGTGATACCCTGACCCTCATTGTCTCCCACCTATTTCCGGTTGCTCTCTTTGTTTCTCTATGCTTTTCCTTTTGTTTGTGTGCTTTTTAAATGTCCCTTTAAAACTTTCTCGACAAATTCTCATCGGATTTGTCCCTTCCCATTGTATGCCGGATCCAGTTATATCGGATCTGGACATCCCAGTTGTCAAACAAAGACGTCTTCGACGTCATCCAGTTGTAACTCTCAAACATTACCTTGTATGTATCTTGTAAAGACGGATGCCTATATAAGGCGCCCGCTCCTTGCTTCAGCAATTAAGCTCCAAGCAGCTTCTCCATCAGATTCTCCAAACCAAATCCTATTGGAAATAACAAATAATTATTTGTTAGTAATCTCTCTTCCCCGTCTAAAAATCAACCAGCAAACCCTACTACAATCTAGAAAGTTCCTATTAACTTTGTGGTTCCATTCCTAACAGTGCTTACAAAGAAAATACAACCAACTCAATCCCTCAACAACCAACCAGCACTCACTAACCACAAACTAATAAACCCAGTCGTGAGTAAAAATCTCAAATCTCCTAGCTAGTTACTCAACAACCTCTCATTGACCTTCTTTCTTCAATTTAGTTAGACACAAGGAAGCACTAAAAACTCAACAGTTAAAACAACAGAACCCGTGCACCACCTTTTTAGGTAATACAGAAGTCCATAACCAAAAAAAACCCTTTTACTACGTACACATACTTCATAAAAAAGGAGATTCTGATCAAATCTCAAACATCAAAAAAATAAAAGTAATAACACTAACCCCGCTTTTTCAACAAACAGAAAAACACCGCAAAACAAGAAAAAAATAATGGACAAACAAAACACTGGATACATTCACATTCCCGCTAAGAATATAAGAATGATCCAAGCTCAACTACACCAAACCAACATCAATGCACAGAATAGTGCACAGGCTATAGCCAAACTACGCCAACAGTATCTACAAGCATATCAAGAACAAGCCCTGGATCTAGCCAACGGGAAAAACATCATCGAACAACTCAAAAGAAAACAAGAAGTTCAAAACCAGAAACCAGACGCGTTCAGGGCTGAACCACAGCGATTTGAAGGTTACGGCGATAACGCTCAACTCTGGATCCTAGACCTCGAATCAAACTTCCGAATTCACAGATACCCAGAAGACCAATGGGTCAAAATGCTTGGTGCATATCTCGACAAAGAGTTGAAAATGTTCTGGTATAATCCATTCTCTAACTTGCTCTTTTAGTTTGGGGATGGATTTGATAGCGGGGACCCTGATAAAGGGTACCCCGCCTACTGGTAGGCTAGGTGTGTTCCGGAACAAACCACCCATGCCTTCTTTACAAAATAGTCAAGAAGGCACATACGGGGGGTGAAGGCCCCGGCCCGGGGGGTCTTGGTTTTGTGACACCAAGGGTTGGTTGGTGACACCCAGGACTCCTTGGCCCGTGTCCTCCAGGGTCGGTGGGTGGGAAATTCCTGTGCACAATGTTGGGTGGGTGGGTGGTGCACAAAAAAGATCAAAGCTATGATCTTTTGGGATAATTCTTGCGGATGTTGTGACAATTCGTGAGAGTTGGATTGGCTGAGAGAAAATCTTGAGAGGTGGCGCCGTATCTTCCAGATACTGGCCTCAAGATGTCACCAATCTGCCTGTCACAAATTCCACAAGATTTCATGGACAACGGAACCAGCTATGTTATGGTGGTTCCTATCATCCATTCCCTAACTTGCTCTTTTAGTTTGGGGATGGATTTGATAGCGGGGACCCTGATAAAGGGTACCCTGCCTACTGATAGGCTAGGTGTGTTTTGGAATGAACCACCCCGTGCCTTCTTTACAAACTAGTCAAGAAGGCACGTACGGGGGGTGAAGGCCCCGGCCCGGGGGGTCTTGGTTTTGTGACACCCAAGACTCCTTGGCCTGTGTCCTCCCCAGAGCCCGCCCACCTCCCTAGGTGTGCCTCCTCCTCAAGTGTTGCTGATGTGCCTGCCTCCCAACTCTCAGAACGCCGGCCGAGCATCCTGAGCCACAGGCACATCCCGCCACACTTGACTGGTGCTCTGAGATCGACCCATACTTCTATCTCACCTCTCTGCTCAGCGATTTCTTATTCAAATCTTTTGGAACCTTATGAATATAAGGTTTTGGGGCTCTATGCATTCCTTGTTCAATCTTGTACACTTTCTATTCTTCTCTCCTCTCCCCGCCTCCTTGTGGGTAACACTGCCTCCTAACCCTCGTCTGTACCTCCAGTCCTGTAGTGTTCTACCCAACCCAGGTCTTCAATGGCTGCTAGGAATGCTTCCAAATCCTCTATCTCCTCCTCCAAGTACGGTTTCAAATAGCGAAGGTAAGTAAGTGACCTCCACCTTCCAAGTTTTGCTATCACCTCTATCCTTGCCCCTAGGTAGTATTGCAGGGATGCTCCTACCCAGAAGGAGTGACCGCTCCAAGTTCCTACACTTGGCTCTGCCCAGACTTTCCTTACCCCGTTTAAGGATTGTGTCTTAGTTAATGGTACACATTTCTCCCCTTCGTAGTAGGCAAATAGTGGGTCGTCTGGTGATTTTCTCAGGTGTTGTCTCATCAATCGTTGGAGAGCCACCACTGGGTCCAGGACGTTTAGTTGCTGCTGTAGATGAATGATCTGGACTTCCCCTGGGGCCGCCGTTTTTGCCTTACGGTGGAGCCTTACGAAGTTTGTACCTCTTTTTGCTCCAAATTCGATGTGTCGTTGCAGTATTGCACCTTCCGCTGCTGACTTCCGTAACAAATCCCCCAGCCTCGCGATTCCCCAGAAGGCAACTAGACCTACTGTCCCAATCAGCTCGTCTACCTCAGATCAACAATTTGTGCATTGCACCAGGTTGAAGAGTTGGCAAACCATGATCGGGTTCTTGACTGTCACTAGGTCTTTCCTTTCTTTGGACCGCCTTGAAGATGTTAACAGGGTTTTCACCACCTCTGGATCTGTCTTTGGTCTGGCCACGTGTTTAACCAGGTGCCACGCCCGAATACCATCGAGGTATTTCTTGATGGTCACCAAACTAATAGCTTGTGTAGGTCCGTCGGGGATTGTGGGGTCCAATTTGCTTGCCCATGGGATGAAGTCGTCAGTCTCCAAGTCTGTAATAGGTCGGTCGGTGTCAAAGTTCCCTTCTGTCTTCATCTTGAATTCCACAAACTTTGTCATCCCCAAGGAGTAGCCTGCAAGGGTTGTTCTTGCCCATATTTCACAGTTGAACAACTGTTTGAAGGTGGGGCAAGTGGTGGCTATTTGGAAGGCATATGGAAGCTCGGTCTTGAAAAGTGTTGTCCTCCTTCGTGAGATACGCCATGGCCGTGTGGGTCCATTCTATGGAATGCGCGAATTGATCCGGGGTCATTGCCAATCTTGGTTGACAATCACTGTCAGTCCCTCTGCCCTCAAACCTATTGGAATGATTCGCAACACTGACTGACTGAGCACGCCTCCACAGGACATCCATTGCATTCTCAACGTGCAACACCATTGCCACTGAGATGTATGTCCAGTCACTGAAGGGCAAAGGAAATTGATCGGAAGACAGGAAACCGGTGCACGTATCAGCACGGTGGCGCATATTGACAACGGTCACTTTATCTTAAATAGCTCAAGTCACTATTCAGCCGAAGCGCATAGGGCAGTTGCTGACATTGAACCTCAGTGTCTCACCCCCGCCATGTGGAAAGAATCATTGATGCAAGGATTACAGGTTTGGCAATTGGTTCCGGTAAAACTGCGCAGACCAAGGGTTTGTAAAGGTAACCAAAAAGCAAAAGCACAAGACTCTTCATCGGATGATCTTGATGATATCGATGAAGACATGGAAAAGGATGGAGATGTGGAAGCAGAGGCCGATGACTTAGAAAGCAATTTTTGATCCCTTTCTTTTCCTCTTTGATAAACCTTTTCACATTATAATTTTTGTTTTGATGCTTTTCCCTTGACACCACACATCAAGGTTTCTTGTTCACTTTTCTTCATTTTAGCAACTGATGATACATGTCGCCAGACAACAAACCTCTGTGAAATTACATGATACTGCTTGCGTGCAAAACACGGGTTTTTTTATGCGGAGCTGGATGGATCCGGTTTCTATCCAATGGGCTCGTCTGGGTGATCTGACAAAGACAACGACACACTTTCCGTGTATCTTGTAAAATCCTGCCAGAGACACTTGTCACAAATGGGCTGAGCATTCTCACTCATCAAATGGGACATCCGCTTCAAAAGCGCTGATTGGTTGTTGTGTGACGCGTCTTGCGAGTCTCGCGACGACCAATCGGCGGCTGCATGGCAGCCTTCCCCCCTGGGTTGATCCATGCCGGTGAAGAGTTCTCACCCCTGGGTTGGTTGCATTGCTTTCTTGCGCGTGAGGTCTTGAGATAAAAACTTGGTTGTTTGTTTGACCCTCCGCCATCCTCAAGTTTGGTTTATCACAATTTCCACCATCTAATTTTCATGTTACGCTCACTTTTAGAATTTATGGGGACTTTACCTGCCATGTCCTCCCAGCAATCACACTCAGCAGCACCTTATTTGTTATCGACCCCCTCAATGGGTGAGTGCTACCATCACCACTGCCTTATCGCTTAAACATGTGGATCTTTACCAACAAATCTCTCTCTTCATCTTGAATGAACACTTGATAACTCTAGGTCGGATTGACCGGATGTCTTCCACGCTTTTGGCCAACCGTGCGTCAGCTTTGGTGGAACGCTCCGTTTGCGGTGCCGCGAGCCGCCCCCCAAATGTTGGCGAATCTTCAGGCAAGTGGTCTCTTTCCTTCTCACCATCAGCCCGTCAGACTGATGTTGTAATCCACAGGTGGTCAAATTTCCGGTGTTTTAGGGGTGAGTGATCTCTTGCATCATCTTGTCTTTATCTCACTTCGGGCACTTTGACCGATGTTTCTTGTTTGTTTTGGGGATTTAGGACAATGAGGGCAATGTGACCACTCGCAAGATTGTCTCAACTGAGAAGATCCTGGCTGCCATTGCCACCTTGTCGACAAAGATGGAGTTGGATATTGCCCATCTGTATGACAAACTCAAAGAAGAAGTCGCTTTGTCTAATGACAGTGTTGAACATTACCACATGTTGTCCAACAATCTTGACTGAGTGAACGAGAGATTGGAGCTCATCGAAGATCACCTCCTTGAACCTCATGTCAGTCGTGCACTAGTAGATACTCCTGGACCTCCAGCTGCTGCCTCGGGTCTGTTGGCCAGACCCAGACTGCGGCACCACTGTGGAGCTGTTCTCGCCAGCTGAAGGTAAGTTTACTTCCTTGCCATATTGTGTTTCATCTTGCACTCTTTCATCTCCCTAAAACTTGTTGCCCAGGACCGTGTATCTGCTGTGGCATACAAAAAGGTTATGTTGCACACGATTGGAGCGTACACTAAACGTCAGACACCGCATGGTGACATAATAGCGGGTTTGCTATTCAAGACCATCATAGTGAGTCCATGTGCTTTCTGAGTTGTGCTGCACCTCATCATTCAAACCACTGAAGTCTTCCATTTTCCTCTGTGCGCTTGCACTTTCCTTCATCCAATCTTCTTTTACCACATCTTTGTATCTTCCAGCAAGAGGTCATGGAAACGCAGACCCCGTGGCCTGAACAACATCTACCACCCAGAGTCAATGGAGTGACTGATGTAGCGGCCGTCAAGGCCTACCATAAGCTAGTCAACAACGCTGGAAAGCATGCAAGGGAACGCATGCATCACTTGGTAAGTTTCTTTTGTCTTTCAAAAGCAATTTCAGACACTGACCAACCAATCTTTCCAAGCCACTTGTTAAGGTTTTGCTTGGCATTCGCAACCCACGTGAGCCAAGCATTCCACCTGCAGGCACCATCCCCCACCTCAAGAAGCTTGTCTATTGGGTAAGTGAACTGATACTTTTCACCATCATGAGTGCCTGTTTCCTTGGAATCTTATTCTTATCCCTCTTAAACTGGTAGATCGCGAATAATTGTGCGGAGGAGGAGGATGACCGCGACATTCAGACTCTATGGATTGAAATAGATGATTTGCATAAATTACGGGTTGCATATTTGGTGAGTCTCACTTGGGTTCAATCAATACCACCCATCTTTATTCTAATTAACATGTTTCCTCTGGGCAGCGCCGTGAAGCGATTCAAGTTTTCCAAGCAGTACGCCGGGGTGAAGGAAGACCGGACATATGGGCACAAGTAGATAAACAGCTCATCAAGTTGCGCGCGGGGGGCCCTGTACACTTTGGCGTAAGTCTCAACTTCCCTTTGGATGTTCCTTTTTTTTATGTCATCCAACTGAACACCGTCTCAACTGGCAGATTTTATAGAATTGTATACAATGAGGATCACCAGAATTTTTGTGGGAAAGGCCTCATCAGCGCGTGTGAGCCTGCGGTGAAATTTGTTCTGCCTTCCGAAGAGGCGATACAACTTGAGATGAAGAGGATTGAAGCTGGTGGGGATGCAGGAATTGACACAGGAGGGTTCGAGGAGGGGGATGAGGATGAAGGCATTGATGAATGAAGGGGTATTGAATCCGTCGCGACATCACACTGTGCTTTTCTGTTCAATTTCAGAGTCTGGTTTATGTATTGGTCATGTCCAAAAGATCCTAACAAAACAAATCAATCAAAAATTACATCTCTTCATTTCCTGTAACTGCGTTTCATTGACTCATTCCTCCTCTTTGTTATCTCATTCCATACAAGCCGTTCTTTCCAATGACTGCCACTCTGGCCATTCCACCGCCTAGCAAATGTGCCTCACACTATACCCTTTTTTGAAGCAGAGGAGCCCGTGCCGTGTGCCACCCCATTCCAGTCCAAACGGTCCCAATTGATTGATTCCCCGGAATCAATCAGTGGCCTGCAGGCCACCTGCAGGTGGCTTACACCTACACTTTTGGCGCTGCACAGGCGCCTCCCCGGCTGGCAATTGGTTGCCGCCAAACTGACCTCCTGCGGACGGTCACTCACTCCGCACAGAACAACCGTCTGGTGGTGGCCCGCGAGGATGACCTATGGGCGGTCAGGACTCCCCCGTGGTGTACCAATTAGGAGGGTACTTATATTTGGGCTCTCCAGGGTCCTATCACGATTATACAAACATGGTGTCACTTTCCAAAGTTAGCTTAGCATCAATACTTTCCTACTTTCTCGCCTCTGTCTTCCCTTGTCGGCTGTGATGTGAGGCAATCTGTTCGTGCGATAACATGTGGCTATATAAAGTATGTACACCAGGGGGTAATGGTCCTCGGCCTCGGCCGGTTCCTGTGACGATTTCCAAAGTTTCGTCACCTGAACCGCCCAGGAAGGTGTGGAACCGGTTTCGCCGAAACCGATTCGGACACCGTTCCACCACCGCTTCTGGAACGAGCTGCATGTCAGCAACCGTTTGAGAACGGCTCCTGAGGCGGTGGTGAAGCAGTTTTTTTGATACCGATTGCAATCGGTGTCGAACTACCTTCAGCAACAACAACTTAACTTGCAATTTGTTTTTGTGAGTTACCATGCGAGCAATCGATCATCACTGATGGTCGTAGGCCAGCTTTTGAAAGTTGTGCGCTACATGACTCTACATGCTGAGCCGAATACACGTGTCCATCGGTTGAGCCTCGGAGAATCACATGGCAAGCATCGTTACCGGTTGTGCCAACGATAGCTGATAAGCCTTGTTATTGAGGAATGACTCGGTTGATGATTCGAAAGCATACTGATATGACACAAGGTGGACTCACAGTGTGGTCTGTATGGTGTAGCGGTGAAACGCTCTGTGGCCACTACCAAGCCTTTTCTCGTTTTTGAGCCTGTGTTCAAGTCCCACTGCCTGATTTTCTTTTGGCAAATCTACGACGTACCCTCGGAACGTTCCAGGGACCGTGTTTAGGGGTCACCGAGGCAGTTTGCTCGCACCGCCAAAAACGGTGATGGGAACCGCGTTCGTGCGGTCCCATCTGAAATCGTCTCAGAAACGACACGAATGGTTCAAATCCGTGACGGCAGGAAAACGGCTTCGAAAACCGTTTTCTTGCCGTAAGTTTACCCCCTGGTGTACCCACCAATATAATCTGTCCCTTTTTTCAACACCGGTATTTGTCCATCCCAGACCATCTCTTCAGTCTTTATTCTCACTATAATATTCCTGTTCTCAATCAAATTTTGGCGTGCAACAACATGCGTCTCGCAATGGTCTTCATGCTCAGAATGACGAGCCCCTCCTTTTTGAACCAGCCATGTAACACAGCTAACACAGTGTTTGCGGATCTCACACCAGGTCTCGTTCCTCCAAAAACCAAGTTGGGCCATCAGGGCAAAAGGGGTTCCATGCCACGTCTTCGATATGTACAAGACTCTGGAATGTGCGAGACTCGGAAAGGGATGAAAACGTACTCTGGTTACATACAGAACGACCGAAATCAGTCCATGTTCTTTTGGCTCTTTGAGGCCCGGTAAGATGCCTGCTTCCTGAATGTCAGGCATGTACTTGGCACCAACTCTGACTTCTTGGTACTGGACCACCTAGTAATAAACCTGATACAGCGCCATTAGTGCTCTGGTTGAGTGGAGGTCCGGGATCGTCCTCTATGCTGGGTAAGTTTGCTTTCGTCGAGCTCGTGGCGAATTCTCTGGCTATATGTATAACTACTAGTACATCCAACTGATTTTATGCACTTAGGTCTATTTCAGGAGAACGGCCCTTGTCGAATCAAGCGAGACTCTAGTGGCCTCGAGGATAACGTTTACTCCTGGTCAGAAAGTGTAGGTGCAGCATCCACCCAATATGAGTCCTGCTGTCATGACGAAATTTCTGCAAGTGACGGGATGTGTAACACGTGTTCCTTTTGGAAAAATGACAACAATTCGCCTCCAGGCCAATATGTGAGCAGATATTGGGCTTACCAAACAAAACAAAGCTGTTGGCTAAGTCTACATCCCATCGGAAACGCGTCTATACAGGCTTTACCTCGATCAACCTATTGGTGTTGGCTTTTCCTATGGAACTACAGAGGTGACAACTTCGTTGGAGGCGGCGGAGGCAGTATACAAAGTACTTCAGCTGTTTTACGCGGATTCCATTTTCTCAAAATTTGTAGGGCACGACTTTGGGCTTTGGACTGGTTTGTCTGGTATTCCACCCATTGAGATCCCTCTCAGAGTTTGGTTCACCTTTTCATCGAGTCGCAATATATTAACAAAACTACATACCTTATGGCATTGGCGCAGAGTCTTATGGTGGTCAGCCCAGAAAGCTTACGAGTAAGTGGCCTGCCTTACTGATTCTATCGCCGATTCGTAGGTCGCTATGGCCCGGTCATGGTGGAATTCTTTCTTAAGATGAATGAAGGCGCTCCACAGACTGGCAATATCATTATTCCTGTCAAGACATTGGGAATTGGTAACGGCTTACATTCTGCTCTTGTGCAATATCCAGAGTACATGACGTATGCGAAAAGGAACCCGGTTCGTAGCTCTTCTAAAGGCTAGCGAAATGCTGGGCTTTGATACTTACCCGGTTCTCCTATCCGATCTCGTTGAATCAGTATAGACAACTCATCCCGGATAGTGACATCGAAAACCTCACAATGTCCTACAATTCACCTCAAGGATGTAGATCACTCATCTTAGACTGTCAGAACACACACAAGGCAGCCCAATGTAGCGCTGCTCATCACAGTTGCAATAGAGACATCTTGACCCGCGCGTCTGGAAAAGCGAGCTATTACGATGTGCGGTTAGTTCTGACATGCAGAGCAGACATCAAATCTCTGGGGTTTGCGTCATTTGTCCTAAATCTCTCCCCATGACGTAGAAACGATAGCCCCGATCCATATCCGCCCACGCTTGAGCCACTTCTCACAAAGAAATCCTTTCAGGATGCAATAGGTGCTGAGACAAACTGGACACAAAATCGCCTCAGCATCTACGAAGCCTTCACTACAAGGTCGAAATTCTACCTCACTCAATATTTCTACAATGAAGACGTTACATCTACTGGAGCTGATGAGAATCTTGCGACGATCCTTCAATTATCTGATCAGCGGTGACTGGATGTCAGATTCTTCGCCTCACCTTGAGCGTGTCATTGATGCGGGAATTAGAACTTTGTATGTATCATTCAAAGAAGCATCTGTAACAACTCAAAGCAGTTGGAAACTGATCACTTCTGTATTCCATTCTGTACTATGATGAAGAATATATGCTGGGGATGCAGACTATATTATGAACTAGTACGCTTGAATTCAGCACTTAGCAAGCTGAAGTCGAAATATGATTAATATTTTGGTCGAATCTTCATCTTCTGCTTGCACAGCATTGGGATAGAAAGGATGATGGATAATTTGAACACCAAGTTTTCCGCGGAGTACCGCCAGAAAACGTTTAGCCAATGGGTCGTCGCTGGCGAGGCCGCTGGCCTTTATAAGAGTGCCGGTAGCTTATCATACCTCCGAGTGTTTGGTGCAGTCAGTCATCAACAGATCTGTACATGTCATATTCAAGCTGAGCTACTTGCACTTTTGCAGGGGCACAAAGTGCCAGCGTATGGACACGGTAAATTAGCTCGTGGTCAGGCCGCCTCGATGTTTTTTCACCAAATCATAAGTGGTAAACCCATATCTGGCTAAATAAAAGATCTGGCTCACCACACGACCCCTGGAGATATCAACAACCTCTACTGTTTGTATTGTAGGTATTCCAAATCTTTGTTTACCGGAATTTTTGCAGGACTTATACCTATCTTTGATCATTTTCCTTGACAAATCTTCTAACAAGAAGAACAGAGATGGCCCCAATCCTCCCGGCTTGCTTTATCCAATTACTCCTCCTGCAAGGAGACACAATAGACATGCAGCAGAAGAGAGGTGTTGAAAAAGTTCCGCATGATGTTTGAGGGTATTTAGGTTGATGGTGTTGAGATAAGGAAAGCCAGGTGATCTGGAACAAATCACAAGTTAGTGATGTAGAGGAGCGCTCAGGCTACTGATCATGTATGTGTGATAGAAGAAGAAATGCATATGAACAAATCACAAGTTAGTGATGTAGAGGAGCGCTAAGGCTACTGATCATGTATGAGTGATAGAAGAAGAAATGCACCTGTTGGAAGGTGGCACAAAAAGAAGCGACAATGTTTGAGTATTAATTTCCACAAGCAACAAACATAAGTGGGAGAGAAAGAAAAGATAGAGCTACTAGCAGACCTGGAACAAATCACGAGTTAGTGATGTAGAGGAGTGCTAAGGCTACTGATCACATATGAGTGATAGAAGAAGAAATACACCTGTTGGAAGGTGGCATGAAAAGAAGCAACAATGTTTGAGTGAGAAAACAAAGGTATACACAAACATTTGGTTCTTCATATAGTACTTTCTTCTAGACTTAGGTTAACAATCATACTTCAGGTTTGTGTCTATCATGCGCTGCTTTGGGAAAGGATAAAACAAGCAAAGAGAAAAGAAGGAGACAGAAGCAAGATACACATAGCTAAGACCAATGTGGATAAAAATGGTTAGGTCAATGAGATGAGAACTATTGTACTTCAACACCCCCCTCAATTGTAACATCTCATGCTCTGATAAGTTTTGTAAGATATTTGTGTTGTGGTCTATGCAAGGATTTAGTACAGACATCTGCAAGCATCTCCTTGGTGGGAACATACATAGGAATTATTGTACCAGAATTGACTTGCTCTCAGATCTGATGAAGATGTACCTGAAAATGCTTTGATCAATCCTTAAAAAGTGGATTCTTTTGAAGCACAAGCAAGCTTTGATTATCACAGAGTAAAGGAATTCCATTGTCTTGAGAACATCCAATATAATGCAGCACCCTCCTTAAAAACACAACCTCCTGCGCGGCCTCATCTGCAGCTCAATACTCAGCTTGAGTAGACAAAGTTGAGACAGAGGGTTGTTATGATAATGGTGAAAGACATGTCAAGTCCATCCCGATTAGGAAACTGAAGTGTTGGCAAGGATCAAGAGAACAAGGAATGGTCTTGCTTAATTTAGAACTGACTCAACTCATTACTTCCTGTTCTGGATTAGCGCATGTTTGGGTATGCTGAATTGAGCTGTGTGTATGTCTGTTTTGGTCTTTCTGTTACCCCTTGCTTCAGAAGCAAAAATTTGTGCGCGCGTTAATTTTGACTCTTATACTCTGCCTCTCTCAAGCTCCTTGTTCCCTCCTCATCGAGTGGAACTTGGAAGCTTAGAGTAAGCAAATTTTCACTCTTTCTTTTTCTCTATGTGTGATTCTTTTCAAATCTGGACAAGTACTCATATGTTACAATAGACTTCTCTACCACGTTATTTTTGTCCTGCTCATTTGCAGGTAAGGCGCCGAATCCTCCGCCCGTCTATCTTAACTTCTTTGAGTCATCTTAAACTCAACTAACACCTGTCCAGGTAAATTACTTGTCCTCTTATCTACTTTAGTCTTTTTCTATTTTTCTTTTTGCTTTGGTTTGGAATATCATCGAGTGGAACTTGGAAGCTTAGAACTTCTCTACCACATTATTTTTGTCCTGCTCATTTGCAGGTAAGGTGTCGAATCCTCCGCCCGTCTATCTTAACTTCTTTGAGTCATCTTAAACTCAACTAACACCTGTCTGTCCAGGTAAGGCGTCACATCCTCCGCCTGTCTATCTTAACTTCTTTGAGTCATCTTAAACTCAACTAACACCTGTCTGTCCAGGTTTGCGTGTAGATTCATATCTGCGTCTATTCATTTCAAGGGTTGTTTTCTTGGGCGCCAACTTACACAGCCATTACCAACTTTGGAGACATAGCCGGAAGTTGAGCGTTGAGTAGTAAGACAAACTGCATAATCTGAGTCAGTGTACACCTTTAGAACTGTGACTCCTCCTCCTCAAACCAAACCACCTTGATAAGTTCCTTGCAAATAGTGCAACACCCTCTTGAATTTTGGCCAGTGTTCCGCACAAGGCTTCTTAAGATGTTGAGCAAGTTGTCTGGCAGTGAATGCTAAGTCAGGGCGTGTGAAAGGCACCAGATAGTTGAGTAGACCAACTGCTCAATTGTAGTTGGTGCCAGTAAATAAGAATGCTTGATGTTCTTCATCCAAAGCTGGAGTGAGATAAGATCCGGGAATCATAGGCGCCGTGACTGGATGACCGTCCATCATACCCTACTCTTCCAACATTGACAAGATGTACTGATCTTGAGTAAGTGTGAGTGTTTTGGCAGTACAATCACGTTCCAAGTTCATCTCAAGGTAAAAGGCACAATCCCCCATATCCCCCATCTTGAACCATGTCTGAAGTAATTGAGAGAAATGTTTGGTGTTTTTACCCATGACCAACATGTCATCAACATGAACATATACAAAACAGCGCCAGGAAGGAACATTTGAAACAAATAGGCAGGGATCAGATTGAGAAGGAGTAAAGTTTATTTATAGGAAGAATGCTTTGACCATGTTGTACCAGCATCTTGGTGACTGTTTCAGTCCATAGAATGATTCATCAAGTAAGAGGACAATGTTTTCACCCTTGAGCTTGGATACATAACCTTGAGGTATAAAGATATACAGTACTTCTTCGGGAATACCATTGAGAAAAGCACCAACTGCGTCCATAAGCCTTACTTCCAAATCATCAATCTCACATACACTTAAAGTGATCCTCATGCTAGCATCTCTTCCAGTTGGAGTGTAGGTTTCATTGTAGTCCAAACCGGGAATTTGAGAAAAGCCTTGAGCACAAATACGGGACTTATGCTTGATGATGACATTGTTCTTGTCAGTCTTGCGTCAAGATGCCCAGGTAGTCTCTAACACATGAGCTCCAGCAAGTAATTCAAATTCAGTAAACACACCCATTTCAATAAGAGAATTAAGTTCCTTTTGAATAGCTGATTTCTATTCAGCGGAATTGGTTCTCTTCATAGCTTCATTGTAGGAGTGAGGTTCTGCGAGAAAAAGATTAGCTAGATTGGCACGTTGTTGTTGAGTGATGATGTTGGATACATCAATGTTACTGGTAATAGCTGTCAGAACAGGGATGGTAGCTGTAATCATATAATAAGATGGTCGGACTGTTGAGCCAACAGGTTGGGTATTGGTTTGAGGTTCATCAGCAATGACAGGTTTGGGACCTTCAGGTTCTTCATCAATAGGATCAGGCAGGGGTTCACTTGGTTACCAATGGCACCACAAGACAAGGAGAAAACGGCCTTGACTTGTTGTCAAGGACACTACCAATGGTGTGTGATGCCCTTTGGACTATGTAACACACCAGCAACATTTCAGGAGATGATGAACAACATCCTCCAAGAAGTCATAGATAAATTTGCTCTAGTTTATTTAGATGATGTTATTATTTTTTCTAGGACACCCAAAGAACATGTCAAACATGTCGAACAGGTTTTTGATATTTTAAAAACTCATTGACTGGTAGTGTCACCAAAGAAATGCCAATGGGGTAAGACATCTCTTCTATTTTTGGGACACATTGTAGACAGAGATGGAATTAGAACGAACCCTGATAAGATAAATAACATCAGTGAATGGCCAATCCCTACAAACATATCCCAGGTAAGGGGCTTCCTCAATCTTAGCACTTACTATAAACAATTCATTAAAGGTTTTTCATCAATTGCGTCACCAATTTACAAGCTCACCAAAGGGTCACCAAAGCCGGGGACTTCGATTCATTGGGGGGAAATCCAACAAGCGGCATTTACAAGCCTTAAGAACACTTTATCCCAAACCGTTCCCCTATCACACCCCACACCTTTCCAACCCTTTGTCTTAGACACCAACACCTCAGGTACCAACATAGGTGCCGTACTACAACAAGATGAACACACAGATGTACCAAAAACTGGCGACTTTGACTTCAAGCACTACTCAAGAAATTTAAAAAATAACAACCTTTGCCCTATTGCTTTTGAATCAAGGACAGTGAGCAAAACCGAGCAGAACTACAGCGCTCAAGAACAAGAACTCCTGGCAATTGTACATGGCTTGAAACACTTCAGAGGATTCATCAAAGGTTCCCCTATCCTGGTCAGGACCGACCACAAATCTCTTAAGCACTATAAAACCCAAAAGTTTATCAACCAACGGCTAGCATGTTTCGTGGATGAAATAGAGATCTTCAATGCGCATATTATTTATAGACCTTGAAAGGAATAGCTCGCGGCAGATTCACTATCCCAAAAGCCAAACACCAAATTCGACCTTGATCCCCCGGAAGTGGCGCAACCACTATTCAACATAGAAGAACAGAAAGAATCTTTTAGGACCCTAGTCAAATACAAAATGAAACTTCACACTGGTATAGACCCAGCCACAGTTGGGAATGGCTTATTCCGTATAGTTCACAACCAATTGGTTCTATACAAAGACAAGAACTTCAGCACAATTCCTCGAATTGTGGCAACAAACAAACGTGAAGCAGAATCTTTTGTGTTCCAGATCCATGAGGATCTAGGTCACAGGAACATCAAAGATGTTCTAGTGGCGGTAAAGAAAAGGTACTGGTTCCCCAGTTTGAATCAAACCGTTAGGAACACAATTGCCTTATGTGCTCCATGTCAAATACGCACTTCACCAACAAAACAACACAAATTACCCATTCAATTAATATCCAGAGGAGAACCTT